AAGTTTACCCGTAGGACAAGCGAAGGCCACGCGATAGGTGCACGACGTCGTATTTTGAGTACGATGCGTTCGAACGTCGTCACAGAGGCGTCATGTGATCTCTGGGTCGTATAAAACATTCGGCAATACGCGGCAAATTTCAGTTGCTGATAGTATTGATAGCAAAACTACGTTAAAACTTTATTTTATATTTGATTGAACTTTATCATGCCACCCAAGATGAACCTGTTAGAGTTGCTCGTTATGTTTTTCAAGGTATATAAAAAAGTAGCAATACTGCTGTCTTTTTTTTTTTCTTGGTTGACTCATCATCATTCTGCAGGAAATGAAATAAAGTGATTGTTAATTAATTGCAAAGAATGTAAGCTTTTGAAGTCTCTGTTAGAGATGTACAGGACTGAAAGATGAGGAAGATGGTCTGAGGATAGCTTTTTATATATCCACCATGATACATAATTATGCAACATTTGAGTTACTCAAATATGCTTTCTTCGTCCATATCGTACTAAAATACGATGACAACACGACGGTATTGCGGGGACTTCACGTAGTCGTGCTGCCTACCTAAGACAGTCGGACATCTTCTTGTTGCCTTCATATTGCCTTCTTGGTGTGAAAAATACCAGATGGCACCAATGTTCACACGAAGTAAAGACGAAAACAACAAGATTTGACAAAATGGCTTCACGACGGCCTTACGAAGTGCAAAATTGGTATACGAAAATGAACCTTCGCAATGTCTTCCGGCATTTTTTGGCATGCCAAACATTTCGGGACCGCTCACGAAGTTGCTGCCGGAGCCTGAAAAATTAAGCCGGGGGTCATACGATGGCGCAATATGCCATCACGAATGGCCCGAAATATAACGATCAGATCCGAATTTGAGCATTTCCTTATTTGCGTGCCCGTCTGGTGCCAATTTCTGGACAGGGTGACGCCTGCATAACATTGTGAAAGTCCGAAAATACATTTATAGAAGTAGTTTTAGTTGAAGACAATCGATTTTATGATAGTTTGAGTGGAATGTTGATTTGCCGAATATTGTGACGTTTTAACTACAGAAACTTTCGTCTGCAATTTAAACATGAGTTATGGGTTTATTGATATAAATGTAAAGACAATGGTGGGTCAGACGAGGTTTTCAAAATAATTCATAATTTGTATGTTCCAAAGAAAATACCTCATGAACTTGAAATTCTATCCAATAACCAATATTAATGATAATATCCAAAAATAACCCTCTATATAGTATATATAAACTTATACCATATAGAAGGTATATTTTGGATATTACAGACCTGTATATTATGGAAATCATCATTAATATTGATAGAATTTCAAGTTCCTGTGGGAAAAAAACAAACATTAAATATTCTAATCTCTAGAATGCCTACCAAAGTTCATAATTAACAACGTCTTTCGTCCGCCCATTTACAAATAATATGCAATGCTGGCAAAAAAAACAATTAACCATTGAAAAGTTTATAAGAATATCTGGTCATCAGATGTCTTCTAGTTCATCTTCACTTGCTGTATTTCTTGCTTGGACGCCCTTTGATACAACATGTACAATAATAAGAAAAAAACTCAAACGCGAGTATTGAGGAAGAAAGTATCACTTCGGCTGAAATTATTTTTATTGAATACGTGCCCAACAGCACAAATCGAACTACTGTGTCAGCGTACGCTTAATATATGGGACGGAATATATATGCACGAGTACTAACTAGATGGCCATTATAGAAAAGGAAAGAAAGTCAGTAGTAAGAGAATAGGTATAAACGCAGTAAAAATAATATGTATGAAGTCGTGCTGTATGCAAGCGAAATTTCGCCGTATTACCTGAAAATCTCAAACCTGAAAATCTTAAGTTCTAGGTCTAGGTCAAATAAAAGCGCTAAAGTTACTCAGAGTGTCAGTGCATAGGAACATTTTTACCAAATTGTTTATGAATTTGAATACCGAAGGTTTACGATAAATACAGACGGTCTGTGAACTTCATGTGTTAGTTGTTGTATTTAGACGAGTTTATTATTTTTAGATTTTTTATATTCTTATTCAATTTCTTGTTCATTTCAGATCCATTATTTTATTTTAATGCGATTATTTTATTATATTGTAATTATCAATATATCCTCAAGAGTGTTAAGAAAACATGTTTAATCAGTGGATTTATCGACATCAGAGATGTATTGAATGTAACCTAACCGACGCTACTTTGAGAAGTTATTAGCGGTGCACGACAAGTCAAAAATCGAACTAACGTCTATGACGTCTATGACGTCAGGAAACACCATCGTGACCTGGGGCGCTGAAAGTCGGGTTGCATTGCCATATGCGCCGTCAAATTCAGACAGTTTGTCATACGCTGTTGAAGTTTCATGTTCAAGTGAATATTAAGTTGCCGTTTCCGGTCATGTAATTTTTATCCTGAGAAATATGTTATGAGCACAGTCTAGAATATATTGAACGCCCCTCGTACGTGGTGTCTGTATAACCTTATACATGAAGTACAATATAATGACCCTGACAATAACTTAAACTCTTATTTTTCTGCATACCAACGGAGAAGAAACTAAGCTTGTTTCCTTATACTATGGAAATGAAACAGTTGTGTCAAAGTGTTTTGCCCCTTGAGATGATTTCTTGTCATTATAATGATAGAAATAGTGTTCATTGTTCCAAAAGTCAATTTGACAGCAAGTCTTAAGAATGATATCTACTTCGTATTTTCTCTAAAAAAAATCAGCTCTCCATCGTACAAAAAGTATCACAAAAATATGGTGTTTTTCATGTATACGTTTACTTTATTTTGTTGTTTATCAAAATGTATCAAATTACGAAATATGCAATTATAAGACTTTTCATGCCATTTATTCGAAATTTATATAAAGTAGTGTGATCTTTAAATTCTTGCCATTATTAATTCTTACTATACATGATTTGATTACGGATTAAGTGAATTGTGATCACGGAACGTGATTGACAATGGGCCTACTAGTATTTCATAATATGTATTAAAATGTGGATGTTTATTTTGATTGCTATATTGACAGAGAGTTCTTTTGATATTCATAACATTGTAGTAGTTTACTTAGTTTGTGTTTTTATTGATTTATGGTAATATTCATAACAATTAATTACTTCCTAACAGGTGCCCGTAAAATTCGAATATATCCGGTCTAGTAGCTTTGCATGAACAACGTCTAAAATAAAAATTTCTCTCCAATTTATTCGCGAAATCGTGCGGACTTATTCGCGCAAACAAATATTTGCGCTTCGTGGCCATCCGCGAATAAAGCGAATATTAATTTGTCGCGAATATTCGTTGGGTTACAGTACTCACCATGTTTTTTTTTTCATTGACAAATCTGTCGATCTATATATTTCTTATAGATACAGGTATGTGACGTCAATTAACGTAAGGCAAGCTTGGGGTAAAACAGACGACCAGTATAGTCCTACTTCACGGCAACGTTACACCGAGGACACAAATGCACGTCATGGGAGTGAAACCAGTAGACAGTCCCAAACAACTGAGCAGGAGATGGACGTTGATTCTTCTGGTGATACAAGACGGGAGAGAATGCCCACCGACAATATTGAGGCACTTTTCTTAAAACTCGAAGGTCTTCCGACTCTTATCCAGAACTCAAAACAGGATATGAGGGCATGGAAGCAATTATTGTCAACAAGGGTAAGAAAAATTTGCATTTTTTCAAAAGATTTGCATTTTGTAAGGTCAAACTGTGTTTGTGTGATCACTTAACATGTAAATCATTCTAGGCAAGCAAAATACATGTACACACATGTATATATATTGTCACTGTCAAAGTGACGATAAGCTTTGTCAATGTTAAAACAATTATTAATATGAATTTGAAGCGTGAAATTATTCGTGTACAGTGTATATTATATCGATGCTGGAAATTAAAGTTGATATAATTATATTATTTTAGTCTTCTGACGAAACTCTGAAACTGAAAGAAGAGATTGAAAAGTTGACAATGGAAAATCAGACCCTTAAGACCCGTCATCACGACCGAATCTCAAGTAACAGAAACGATGAGAAAATTAAGGATCTGGAACAAGAACTGAAGAAGGCAAAACAAATAAACGATAAATATAAAGACGCTTACACTGAAGTCGTCCGAGAATTTGAAAAGGCGGTTGCAAAAATAGGAAATCTTGAGCAAACAGTGGCTGAAGATCAGCTTAACCGAGACAAAATGACAAGAGAATATGAGTCCGTAAAGGGACAAATGTCTATATTACAAAATCGATACAAAGTGGTAAATGACGAGAAGGTTAAGATTGAAAAAGAATTGTCTGAATCAAAAACACGGTAAGAAGTACTTATTTATATCATTTACTGCGCTTATATGTTAGAAATATATAAATAATAGCAGATTAAGTTTAAAAAAATGGTTTCTGAGAAAATTCTTTCATCTCGAGTTCCATATCTGAATAGATCATTTAATTTACCTTTCTTACCAACTGATCAAAAACACAATAAATTTGAAAAGGGTCAATGACTTAAATGCTGTGGTATCTTTTAATTTTTTTGCACAACCCGACTCACACACGACTTCTTTAACTTATCTGACCCAGGATAAATGTCCTCCTAAATATTTAATGTTGCAGCGAAAGTTTTATACCTTTAAGTTGATTATATTTCAAGTAAACCTAATTAAAATCTTGTCACAGCTACATGAACCCTTGCCTTTGTTACTTCATATTGAATGAAATGTCCTAATAATTTATAATTTGATATTCAATTGAACTGATAAAGTAACAATAAATCATAAAAATAACTGTCTGTACCTTAAAGCTTGTAAATTATGCTTTAATGTTGATGTCGTTAAAAATATTAATTTTACAAACATGAAACACAAACACACGAGATCTTCACATTTTCTTACATATTTACAGAATTACATTAAAACGTATCAACATCTTAGTCAATAGACACAAGTAAATGATGTTCGTCTTAATTGTAGACTAAGTCGGATGATGGGGAATAAGCTTGGAGATAACAACCCTGATATAGCAGATCTTAGTGATAAAAATAGGCCAACGAAGCTTGCCGAGAAAAACACAGAGCTATATGACAATGAGTGGACAGATGCTTATGAAGTATTTCTGAATCACTATAAGACGGAAAAGCAAACCATTGAAAAACTACTTGAAATGCTACAGGTACATATTCAAAATGATCATTTTGCATTTTAGTAATTAGTTAACCACAGGACAAAAAATGCCAACTTTGTGTTATATCGTAACTTAAAATTAACGTCACAGTGATGTTTTACATTTTAGTTGCAATATTTTTGTGGCACTTTAAACGTAACAAGATTTATACTAATAGGTCTTATTTTTTATAAGTGTTAATGATAGACATATCTACCTCGTTATATTGAATATTTGTAAAACTCTCGCGGGAAGATTATTATTTTCTGCATGAAAATAAATTGTATTTTTAGGATATAAAAAGCGAGTGTGATAAAATTACTAAAGAGCAAGAACTGAAACTGACAGAAGCACTGAAACTGAAACGTTCAGTAAGTTATTTTTATATGCTTTAAAGCAGCACGCCTCCAGCTTCATCCTTATTTTCATGAAAATTTTGAAAAATATTTAAAAATGAAACATTGTGAAATGAACAAAGAAAGTAATTGGCACATTGCAATAGGCACTTATAATTCATGTAAATTATCAAGAAGAGGTCAAAATATGCAAAAATAGCCCATACTTTGTTAGTAAGCAGTAAAAATATGGTGAAAAATACTCAAAAAAATTCATTAATTGCACATAAGATATAAATTATCACTTGAATCTTTAATCTGTTTACTTTTCTTAAAATTTTACTACATTTTTTCCAAGTATAATTTTCTTTAAATATTTTGGCTCATCTGGAGGCATGCAGATTTAAACATTGCTTGTTTTGCAAATTGTCCTATTGTTAATGAGCAGAGTCTAACCCTAAAGTGTTTATTTATTTAAATTTATTTATTTATTGATTGATTTATATTTATTTATTTATTTATTTATTTTTATTTATTTATTTATTTATATTTATTTATTTATTTATTTATTTATTTATTTATTTATGTCCCATACTTAATTCCTTAAATTAACAATTTTGATACTCCAGCGCAAATATAACATTTTCTGCTATAAAATTTATTTATAAAATAAGATTATGTGTGACGTTAGCATTTATTTGTTAAACCCAAAATGATAAATGTTCGACAATATTAATGCATATGTGACCTTCACAGACAATCGAAACAAGCTATAAGAATTATATGCCCAACAATTTCCACCTAGTCATTCACGTATATTGTTTCCATAGTTTAACTTATTTACATTATTTCGTCCTCTTTTGAGTAGAAAAAGTGTTTGATAAACAAAAAGTAAATTCAGACTTTTATCTTTATCAAGAGATACAACTTTAAGCTTGGCTCAGTGGACAGAAAGCATGCACACAAAAAGCTAACCTGAAAACCTAAATAAAAATGATTGATATTGCTCTTTTTCAAAACATTATAGGCAGGAAGTGTACCAGATCATGTTTTTAAACAATTGAAAGATTTCAGAAGATTTACAGCTGAAGAATCTCTCCCTGAAGTTATTGAGGTATTATTATAAGGCATTATATACTGTCCTAAAGAAATATTTTGGGCAATGCAGCATTATTAAAGCAATAATCACTCACTCTTGTTTATTCTCACCGATGGATGGGCATATTGTCGCCGCTTTGTTTGTCCGTCCGTCCGATTTTCTTGTCCGGGACATAACACTAAAAACAACAAGAGGTATCAACATGAAACTTTGCAGGTCGGTATATCTCGTTGACACGAACCATATAACTATACCTTGCCTAATTTTGAAGTTTTTGCCCTTGTTCATTTTTACACTTTGAACTTTGTCAGGGACATAACTCAGACACCATAACAGGTACCAACAAGAAATTTTGTAGGGAAATATATCTCGTTGAATAAAAGTGCGATGCTAAAGAACCGTTACTCTGCCTTGCTTAATTTTGGAGTAATTGCCCTTTGTTCATTTTTACTTTTTGAACATTTTCCGGGACGTAACTCTGAAACCATAAAAGATATCAACATGGAACTTTGTAGGTACATAGATCTTACCGGGTAAATGAGCAGTGCAAAGGAATCGTAACTCTTCCTTACCTTATTTTGGAGTTATTGCCCTTTGTTAATTTTTACACTTTGAACATGTCCAGGACATAGCCCTGAAAGTATCATAACTCTGCCTTGCCTAATTTTGGAGTCAATGCCCTTTGTTCATTTTTACACTTTGAACTTTGTCTGGAACATAACTCTTACATAGATAGATCTCATTGGGTAAAAGTACGGTGAAAAAAGGTAACTATGCCTAGGCTTATTTTGGAATTATTGCACTTTGAACTTTGTCCGGGACATAAATGGGAAACTGCAAAATGTATTATTTTCTGTGTCAAAAAAAAATTCGGGGAGCATCACCCGGTTCAACTGGCTCTTGTTTTTATGGTAATTAGATAATTTCCATTTTTAGTTTTATAATGCATATATTTGTCAGTTTGTTTCAAGTTTACTAACCACCAAAGCCGGTTCCTAAATAAATGCATTCATTTCAAAAGATTTTCATACTTATAGGCATAAAAGGGATTGAAAGGACATAAAATTACCACATTTTATTATAATACTAGGTTAAACTTTCAAGGTGACTGCTAACAGAGCTAATCATAACCTTTCTGTGTTTTTTCTATTACTGAAATATTTTTAACATGCTTGCGCTCATCTGTACTGAAAATCTTTTGCCTTTAATTAATGTTAATTAATGTTACATATGTTGTTGTTGTTTTTTCCAGATATGTTTGAGAAGTCTCCGCTATAAAAGCTACACCCGATTTTTGAAAAGTACAGATGTGCTTAAGTTTTTCAAGGGATGCGTGGAACTTTGTTGGCTTATGAATGTGCAAGATCCTCCGCTTGTTTTTGGAGATACACCAATGAAGAACGACCAGTTTGATGTCAATTACTTCAAGTTCTACACATCAACTGGGTCGAATTTTGAGTATACAGTATGGCCTGCTTTACTCTTAAAGAAAGATGGAGCAATTCTGAGTAAAGGTGTTGCACAGGCCTCTAGTGAACAAAAGGCGGAGTCGCAAAGACGCAAAACTAGAAATGCTGAAGCAGCAAGAAACGGTACGGGATCTGTTTCAAACGAACGCATTTGGGATGAACGGAAAGACAAGAATCTGTCAGATAAAAACCCAACTACAAAATATTTGTATCATAATAATAGATTTTCTCAGAGCCATGAGGATAAAAACTATAAACAGTCAGTTGCTGGCGGCCCTGAGCATTTCACTGATAAAAAGACTTTTAGTCAGAGAGTAAAAGCGCCTGGAAGTACGACTGTTGCTGCCAGAATGAGCAGAAACATCGGTAGTAGATCACAAAGAGAAAGTGAATCAAGTGAAAGTGAATCAGGGAACTCTAGAAAGCAAGTTCGCTCGTATAGGTCGAACTATTCAGATCTCGTCAATATGTATGGTATCAACAGTCCTGAAGTGAAGTTGTTGGAAATAAGGCTCGGAATTCAGTCGACAGAATCTGATGTGTAAGGGATTACTAGTATTTGTACAGTTTCTAGTTTCTAATTTTAACTTTCCTACTCTCTTTCTACAGGCATATGGATTTAAATAAAACACTGATGCATATTATATTTCTGCAAAAAAGAGTCTTATTTCCATACATCATTAAATTCAGGTCAATAACGAAAGGGAGAGCCTTTACTCGAAATGGAGATTTTTCACTATAATTTTGTTATTTAAACTGTTATTCATGTTATACATGTACATGTATAAAATGATAATGCATAACATTTAATTTCAACTTCACCTGTGTTTCTTAAAAATACACATTGTCCGCCTTGTTTTTATTATATTAGATACTTTTTCTATGGCTGATCAAGTTTCCCATCGCACTTTTAAAAGTTTTTTGTTGTTGTTTTTGTGGGTTGTTTTAAAGAAACATAGGATCTGTAGTTAATATTTTAATTATTTGTTAAGTTTTAAAATAGTTTGGGGTTAAGATTAGAGTTGTCTGTCAGAATGTTTTACTTCCTTGATGCATGTGATATGGATATCTCATATTTGTAGAAATTGACTTGTAGAATTTTATAAATATAGTATAACTTGGGCAAACTGTTGATCAAATGCGTCCGGATACCCGCTCTAAACAAATGCATTAAAATACAATTAATTAATTTACCCACAAACATATTTCTTATCAAAATCTCATAATTACAAATATGTACAAATAAAATAGATAAAAAAATCATTTATGTACATGCCCATGTATTATCATGTTATATTGTATGATTTAACAGTTATTAATTATATAGAAAGAGTTTGTATAATTGTAGACTGAAATACGACGTACCCTAAAATTTCATGAATTCGTGAAATTAATTATAAAGATGGTCAGAGTATCTTGTGAAGTCCCAATCACCTATATATTACAGACATATCTAAGTGTTTTATATTTAAATGAATAAATGGTAAATAACTTTACATAATACATTATCTTGTTTGTTATGTTAGACTTTAGATAACACTGTCATTGCAAGGGTCATACGGCGACTGATCAGCTTTACTGGTGGTGGAAGAACTCAGGTGTCCCCTCGTGATTTATTTCAGGCATAAGCGGACACATGAAAACAACCTCCGACCTTCTGTAAGCTAGCTTGATAGCTTCCTCGAATAAAAGAATCCAAGGCCCAAGGACGGGATTCGAACTAGGAAACGCTGAGGAGCAAATGATTTGAAGTCAGCGTTATTCTACACATGTGACTTCGTAAGAATTACATGTCGACCGGTGAATTACATAAAATTAGGTTTAATGAAATGTATGTTTTGATATATCGAATGTATATCAAAAATGAAACCTGCTTTTTCTGTTTATGTTTTATGTAGATCTATAGATGTATATAACGTGTGCATATTGCACGTTGTATCTACACATGTGTACATTGGCATCAATGATATGCCTTTTGTAAATACATACAAAAACATTTCATTAAGGAAGTGGTTTTACAGCATTACTTTCTAAAAAGAGTTTTATATTTGTCTTTACGATTTGAAAAAAACAATGAAGTCTTACATTTTACAAATTATATCATGTTTTATGAATGTGCTTTGATAGAATATTATTTTGCACGTTGATTTGATCTTATTAAAGAAAAAGTGTTTGCTTTGTAAATTGGTTATAAATTTGTGTTTCGGAAACGTTGTATAGCTTTTTATTGTGTAAAGAACTTCTTAGTGTTCGCCTTACCATATTAGGTGTACCAGTGAGTATGTTGTTATCTGTGTCCCGTTAGGTCCATCGCTATACGCATATAACTCGAAACAACACGAAATTACGATGGTGAAAAGTTGAAATACCAAAACCACAATGGTAAAAATACGAAGATACGATGATGAACTACGAAGGTGAAAACTCGATATTATTTCGTCTTTACGACCTTTTATCATCTTGGTTCCATAATTTCGAATTTTCACCATCGTACTTTCGACTTTAAATTATAGTATTTTCGCCTTTCATTATCGCAGTTTCGTTTATTTCGACGTTGGAACGGTAGTGCACTATGATGCAATAACAGTAAAAGTTTGTTTTTGCCACCACCACTAGAAAATCTACATTTGCCGAGGTTTCGGATAACATAATATATTATAATGATGATGTCAAAATCGTTTACTCATATTGAACAGAGGAACGTATTTAGCTTAAAACACTTAAGAGATGTGCATTGTTATCAAGCATATTTAGATTTGAATAGTTAAATTGTCCGTGCGTTATTCCGTAGGTAAAAACAAAGGTATGTGTTCAAGCGGGTAAGAATTTATCATATAAGAAATAAGCTATATCATGTAATTGCGGCAGGTTTTTTTATGAAAAATTCTCGAACACAATATGACCACTATTTGGCCGTAATTGTGAATGAACGTTTATTGTTAGTATTAAAGGCCCATTATGCCTCAGAAATGCTATCATTTTTATATCTCAAAAAGTGTATTTTTTTATATATTGTTGTGCTTTCAAAACTAAACTCATTTGCTATATACATGAACTATCTTTTGCATATTCAGTTCTGTTGGCAATTAGTATAATTATGGTGAATTAGTATTTTGTATGGAAGACAAAATACTACTTTGATTACATTTTAGTACCTTAATTTACTACACATAACTGCAAGTTCAGCTCTACTTTTCTCATCTAACATGCACTTAATCCATCATTAAACAAATGTTTAATACTTCTTAACAATTTAAAAAATATGGCTGTATGAGGTATAATGTGCCTTTATGTAAAAGTCAAGATAATTTTAAATTGAATATAACATTTTTATTAATTCTCAATTTTGTCAGTCAATTTTAAGTTTATTCATGAAACGTTTATGCCATAATTTTAAAGTAAACGTTTCTATTTAAGACTGGCGTATGATAACAATTATAAGATGACAATGAACAGATGAGTTGAATAAGCAAGGTTTCAAGATTATAATATTTATTTGCTATGGACATACATAATGCCTTTGGTCATATTTACAAAAACATATATGCAAAGAAAAACAGATAATATATACAAAAGAATAATAAAATAATTATTAATGTTTGACCGTTTGGTCTTTGTGTACAGTAGAGCATTAATTTTCAAAGAACCGGACCATAATTACATGTACATATATAATTAATTAATATAAACATAGCATAACAAATGTAGATTAAACTCCTGCAACATCACACCTGTGCTGTTAATTATGCTGTATAACTGTAATCTACAAACATCCGTGCAATACAAATAGAAACAGTGATTTCTATGAATAACTGTAAGACAAGAAATTATGCTGCCATCCTGAATTCTTACATTCAAGAATATTACTAATTTATTAAAATAGACTAACTTTTATCAAATCCACAACTATATAAATTAATATAAAGCATTATAACATTAAAGAACAAATGAACAAAACATACCAATACCAAAGTCCTCAATCCTTAGTTTAAATAATAATTTCCAAGTAAGTAAAACAAATGTACATGTCACATTGACCAACAACGTCTCAGAAGACCCTTACTGTCGGGATGGACAGATAGCTAACTGGTCAAAGGGACATAATCACACAAAAAAAGTAAAGAGTAAAATCATACAAGGTCGACAGAGTGGTCTTTCTTTGAAAATAACAATAACCTTAAACATAGCACTTGGTTACGTTAACATTAATTTGAGGACCCAACTTTTCTAAATAACGATAAATACATGCATTATCTATGTGTGACTGTAAGTTAGCAGGATTCGTAGAAAACAATACACTGCCGTCGGAAAATAAGATAAAATACATAGATAATAATTTTAAATCCTTATCAGTGAGACAATTTTATTTTCTCTTTTTGACAAAACAAATATTGTTTGGCTGCCGCTTTGCTTTCACAATTGAATTACTACATTCTGAAATAATAACTTATTTTCATCAGTCCTTTTCATGGCAGCATAACATTCAGAATAAACATTTTATAAATCACTGTTAAACCAAGGTGTTTTTCTTCTTTTAATACATGGTTTTGATCGATTTCTCACAGAACAGAACATTCATATTTTAGACCTATATATCGTCTTGTTAACATGATATGAATACATCACATAAATATATGTATGACGAGTGTTAACCAAAACATTTCATTGAAATGGTTTAAACGTGGTTCTCGCTTTGAACTATATTTAGATATATCATTTTCTGCAATATATGGCACTAAAGTTTGTCATGTATGGAAACAGATTTTATAATATGATACCAAATTATTAATCAGTTTTATGGAAATGATATAAACAAGTAATTTCAAACACATAAACTCATTATTAAACTAATTTTCGAAATTTATTGAGAACTCTTAATAAAGTATCATATATGTTGTATGTTACTACAAGGTAGAATTGTGTATTTCAGACTTACCATGTAGAGCTCCATAGCTAGTTAATTAAAAAGTACACATTTTTTCTTATTTTACTTTTAACGAAAAGGTTATAAAACAAAGTCATTGTTAATCCACAAATGTCCAACTTGGTTACTAAGTAACTGCGCACGACTTAGTTATCTCGTTCCCACGACTAAGTAACTCTTGGCAACGACTAAGTAACTCGTGGCCACGACATAGTATCTTGTGCACACCACTTAATCATCTCGTGGCCACGACATAGTATCTTGTTCCTACGACTTAACTATCTCGTGGCCACGACACAGTAACTCGTGGCCACGACATAGTATCTTGTGCACGCCACTTAATCATCTCGTGGATACGACATAGTATCTTGTGGCCACCACATATTATCTTGTTCCCACGACTTAACTATCTCGTGGCCACGACACAGTAACTCGTGGCCACGACATAGTATCTTGTGCACACCACTTAATCATCTCGTGGATACGACATAGTACATGTATCTTGTGGCCACCACATAGTATCTTGTTCCCACGACTTAACTATCTCGTGGCCACGACACAGTAACTCGTGGCCACGACATAGTATCTCGTTCCCATGACTTAACTATCTTATGCAATGACTTAGTAACCCGTGGCCACGACTTAGTAACTCGTGTGCACGAGATAAATTAAAACGCACACATGTAACTCTTGTGTCACCGTTAGTACGGTATCTGTCGATTTGGATTTCTATCGTTAATTACTTTTAAAAGTATAAAAATAGTTTCAGCTTCTGTAATGATCCGTTAAACTTATCGGATGGTTTGTAATCTGCATGTGGTTCAGACAGCATATCATCATCATCTCAAAGTCATTAACATCAGTCCTCCTTGGAACTGAACAAGAAAAATATCAAGGTGGCATAAGGATAAACACAGTCATGTCAAACTTACACAAGCTAAATGGATACCTTTATGAAATGAAAAAATCCAAAGTCTTTGTCGGGATTCGAACCCACAGCGATGAGGGGCAAGTGGTAATATTTGTGGAAACTTTAAAAGATTAGTATATTTGCTTCTGTTGATAATATCCTAATCGCCCACTATTGAATCACGATAAACAGGGACGCATTCAACTTAAAACGCTTTAAGTTTATATACACATTTTTATCATGCGTATTAAAGATTGAAATGGTTATGTTTAATTTTGGAATATACTTCCTTCTTTAGAACAGGAAGTTTAAACAGTAAAATTCTCCGTACGTGATGAAGCAGGTATGTCTTCAAACAGGTAAGAATTTCTGAATTAGAAATAAAAGTTATATTAATATGATAACTCCTGATAAGGTGGGAAAACCTGGTTATTAAATTAATTGTATACCTTTTAGAAAAAAGATAGGTAGTCAGATGTACTTTCAGTTTGAAAGTGAAAGTTAATCATAATAAACTATACATGTATTTACAAAATTGAGCGGTAATAAGTAAAAAATTCTATGGTCAAAGGTCTTTTTCTCGTTTAGTAAAATATGTTATGCATGTGCATGTTTTGTAATACTTATAAATTGATCAATAACTGTTAAATACTAATATTATTTTCCAGTAAGTACATGTTCGTACAATACAGCGTAGTATGAACTTATACATACAGTATAGAGACCAAAGTTTAAACAATATCTGTTTGTGAAGAAAAAAAAATAACAGAAAGAAAGCAGAAAAACAACGGTGCATTTATTTCAATATGCATCTCTCAGAAACCAACGTTGCGTACTTCAATACAATATATAGTGTTATAATAAGAAGTAAAATAGACAAAGAATCTGATAACAAGGCTTACGTTAAAAGTGAGGACTGGTGCACTGAACTTCTAAAAAGTGGTTTGCTTTTGACTTTTTCTTGATAGTGTTGCCCTCAACGTTCCTTTCTTTATTTGTTGTCTATAGTTTATGTATGATGTATTGATCAACGATTCCCCCCCCCCCCTTTATTATTAGATCCATTTACTCTCCTTATCGCCCGCTTTAATATATCTCCAATTTAGAATACAATTCAGGGTTTGGATTTATATTGTTGTTTTTGATGCGTTTTACCTTCTCCGTTAATGTTCCACTCCCGTCTATGCCCGGTTTCAGGTCGGTGGTCTTGGATTGGGGAACGTTATTAGGGCAGCGTTCGTTGAATGGCGCTCTTCCTTGTTGATATTAACATTCAGGCTGCCTTTACTTACCCGAACACTTCACAACCATGGTTAAAAGTACACTGTATATGTACATATTCAAACAATCTACTTCTTTCGTAATCTCTATGTAATTACTAACGGTAATTATATCTTTTATCTTTTATTTCCTTTTATATTATCGATAGAATTTACTTATTGTTACACGTAATACTGCATTAAACACGTATATTATAGATACATGTAAAAAAATGAATATTAAGTCAAAAGAGAGTAAATCTCAAGTTTTAGTGATGTAATCATTTTTAAACTAAAGACATGGACCATATTAAATAAATATTGTAATGGAATAATACCGCGATAATATTTTGTGTCAGAGAAGGTAAATAAATAATGGTGCTTGAAATATTATAATACTTTAAACCAAAGGAAGTGTACAAATTACTACATCTGTCGATCTGGATCAATAATGTTATGCTTATTACTATCTATTAAGAGAATCAAAATATTTTTAGTTTCAGTAATGATCTTTTAAACGTACCTGATGATTTACAATCTACACGTGGTTCAGACAGCATATCATCATCATCACCTCAAAGTCACGTGCATCAGTCCCCATTTATGATGCAAGGGGAAACTGAACCAGAAACAATTCATGGTGACATAGATACACCAAGTATCGATAAGCTGGGTCAATTAACAGATGCAGTGTCAAACTTAAGGCCTATTTTGGATGCGTTCAGGCATGAACAAATGCTTAAAGACGAAAAGCTGAAACAGCTAACACAGGAGAACAATAATCTTAAAGAACATATTGGAACATTGGAAGGTTTTGCACATCTGTCCCCGGAAAACACGAGAGATCAATACAATAAAAATTTGCAGAGTAACTTACACAGAACAGAATGTTTGTTACAGGAAGAAAAGTCAAAAGTACAAAAGTTGTCCAAAGACATTGATGAATTGCAGGCACAACTAGCGAAATCTAAAACAAAAGAAATTAATTTGACTTCTGAAAACCAAAAGTTGGAAGCTATTGTCGCCGACAAAGACGATTTATTAAAAAGGAATGAATCTTCAATCAACGATTTGTACGCGGAAAACACTAATCTAAATTTAAGAATTGAAAAACTGGTCACTGAAAGGGACAATTTAAAGATGATTGTAGATCGATTTAAAAACGAACTGCGGGAAAAAGATAGTAATGAAAAACGCATTTTGGAAGAGAATGAAAGTCTAACACTTCAAAATGTCGAGCTAGAAAAGATGATCGAAAAGGTTAAACAGGAAAAGAGAAAATTTGAAGATGAGGTTACCGAAACAAAAAAACGGTATATCACATTCTTTATAGATTTCTTTATAATAACCTAGTCAACTGATGAAAAATGAATGAAATAGTTTTCATTCAAGTTGTAAGTTGCTGGAAAATTTACCCAGTTATCGAATAATATTATTGTTCTTCAAAGCATTGTTAAATATCTAATGGTAATAACAATATTTATATAGCTAAACTATTATGTACATGTACTTAATTCAAATTTGTGAGATAAAATATATAATATATGACATATTTCTTTTCAGTTTAAGTAAAGTGATGGGCAACAAACTGACCGCAAATAATCCTGGTATAGCAGACCTTAGTGATCAAAATAGACCGACGAAACTAGCCGAGAAATATTCAGAGTTGTATGACAATGAATGGACTGATGCCTATGAGGTTTTTGAAAAATCTTCTCCTAACGAAAAAGATGCGATTAAAACTCTCCTTAATCTGTTACAGGTAGTTGCTAAATATACGATTTTTATCTTTAATTCTCTTTTTAAGTATGTCAGAGTTAATAAGGATCATTTGTCGTATCACTTTTATAACTTGTTTTATGCAAATTTATAATGGATAAATACACAAAAAAGAGTTAAAAAATATTCAAATTTACAGAGTATACAGAGATTTTGTAGCGAAATGGCTATATCACAGCTAGAGAATATCAGCACTGCACTCACGATGAAATATGATCAGGTATGTTGATTTTATACCAGATTCGTAAATCACTTTTAACACAACAGTTATTTTTTAAAATTTGTTACAAGCAAAGTTTTTCAAACAGAAAGACCCTGATTAAAGCGACCTCATGTTAAGTTGAGTGGCTAGCCACAGATCCTGTACGTTGTAATTAAGATTGTGACCACTCTTAAGTGACATTTTACATACATGTATGTATATAGTTATATGCTTCTAAAACAATTTTCAAACATCGAAGAATATGTAAAATATGTACTGCAAATATTTGTTTACATTAAATGTAATCATTAAAATGTATGTATGCATTCACTTCAAATTGAAAATTTTGACTTAGACTTTATGGAAAATAAATTTCTAATTACCTCCCTTTATTAACATGCAATGTAAATTTGGTAATATCTTTACAAATAATCCTTTTTTTTGAACTGCCAATGTTGATAAATCTCCATTTAAGCTTTATATTTATGACATCAAATCATAAAAAAATTGTTACAGGATCTTTAATGATTATTATTATAAATGACATTGTGCAAGATTTATTGATTTAATAGGTTTCTGAAGCAATATAAAGTCCCCTTTGCAAGTATAATGAACTTGATGACAATCAATATTAAAAACGTATAATACTACACGAACATAGTGTTACACATCACGTGAATATGTTGGTAATATCAAATAAAAAGAAAACTATGATAATACTTTTGTAGACGAAATCACAGACCGAATATTTCAGACAACAAATAAAGGACTTCAGAAAAGCTACATCAGTGGAAGCCATAGAAGGGGTAATTTTGGTAAGTGTAGAGATTTGTATGCTACTTTGAGCTTCCACTTTACATCGGAATCGATTTCGCATATTGATTCATAAACCTAGCATGAACACACATGCTGATGTTAATTACTGCCGTTCGCGAACACGTTTATTTAAACCGGACTGAACTTGCAATACTTTCAATTTCGCTAAATTTAGCAACCTTTCCGGTTTCCATTTTATCTAACTGAATGTGTCTACGTATATGTAACAGTATTCATATACATGCATTTGAATTATGATACTATTATCATTATCATTACTATTATGTACGAGTATATATTATATACGATTCAAACAAAGGGCTAAGCACGTGCTTATCACTATAAGATAATTAGTGTAGTATTTTATGACAATAAATATGCTTAAATACTTTTTAATTAGAAATGAAATGATTTAGATAGATGTAAATTGTGAATGACTCATTGTCGAATAATTTATGTTCCGAGCTAGGCTTCTATCCATTAACTATTTGTGGTCATAATGATCGGTCCAGTTAATGCCAAATGATGTGCACTATTTTTTTGATATCGCGCTCAATTTGTAATAAAAAAAGAAAAATTATAACGTTTGCCCTGAACATTACATTAGTTTTTTAAGGTTACTGTATACATTGTATTGTTGTTTTGTATCGAAATATTGATCTAAGTCGCCTGTCTTGAATATAAGCGTATCAGTGTTAATGTTAACACATGTTCCTTGCTGGTTTGAATACCAGTGGTCAATCTCTTCAAACGTTATTTCATTTCTAGTCTTGTCGTTTCAGCATTACGTGAATCATCTAGAAAGTAATGACACCGTAACATTGAAGCTAGTGAATCAACCAAATGTGAAACCATTTATGCATAAATGTGTGGAGCTATGTTGGCTAATGGCGGTCCAAGATCCTCCATTGGAATTTGCACAGCTGAAGGAACAGTGGGGTAATAAAAGATTTGACACATCAATATACAAGCCGTACACTCAGACTGGCGCATTTGTCGACTTTGTTGTTTGGCCACCTCTGTACCTGCACAAAGACGGTCAATTACTTGCTAAAGGAGTAGCGCAGGCATGTGGACAGCTATCATCAAAAGATCCCGTTAGCAAAAATGTTTCGAATGCAACTGCTGTTCCAGGTACAGCTGTGCCTGTTCAGGGAACTTGCAATAATGACAAATCGAGAAGCTTTCATGGCAGATCCTCAAAAAACACCGCGGCTAACTTCAGCATGACGGTATCGGGAGCTAGCGGATTCTATGACAACAACTTCTCGACAATACAACAAGACGATGACGAGAAAGCATGTGAATAAACCGGGCAGATATTATTCAAGATATCAATGTCTTTTTGACTGAGACTGACCAGTGATTTTTTTTCACTACTGTATTTTACAGCCGAATAATGGCTGTTTCCCCTAGCCCAAAATAGGTAAAATTTCCCCTTAAAATGCTCATATTTTCCCCTAAAATGCCTCGTGTTCTTCCTAGCCAGAATTATGACTTAACAGCATCTGACTTATATCAGCTAGAAGACAGAAATCTGTCCCTATAGGTACATTGTAGCGTCTGCTGTATACCATGCATGTTAAATTGAATTGAAATCAAAATTTTATAAAAAAAATGTGTGGGTGAATAATATTTTCAGTTGTTGGAATTTGATTTCAGGTTTTCCCCCTTTTCTGTTTTATCGAGCTATATTTCCCCCTTTCGAAAGCCACAGGTTGTTTTGAAAATTGGAAAAAAATCACTGGTGACTGTCTGAGACTGGTTTATACATGTTATAGCTATGAATAAAATATATTACATACTTGTCAAAGCGTATGGGATCATCGGATTATTATTGTTACATATTAGAAATAGTAAAGGTGCATTTGACATTAAAAAAGAATGTTATTTAAAATATTGTATGTATGTGCTATTGAATTCATTTTTGAAATGTTATTAATGTTCTCGGTGGTCATCCAAAAGTTTGCTTCGATGAAAATTTTAGACACTAGGGACCACATAAACAAAATCGACATTTCAGTCGTTATGCGTGATAACACGAAATTATTCCTTATTTTATTTAAATCTTACACCATTTATAATAATCAATCTAAAAGACATAACAGTCTCGGCCTCGCATGAAATACTTAACAAAAGTAAGAACCCAGAACGTGTTTTTAATTTTATTAAATTAAATAAGTACTTCAACTTCATACACCCCTGTTCATATTTGTAGGTGAACATCTTATGATTATAACTTTATTAAACTGTTAAATGCAATATGTAGTTTTTCACATGTCCTCCGTCCTTGTGCCCTCTACCATTGTTCCGTCCGGTGCCTCTAATGGCTGGTCGGATGCTGCGTTCTACGATCTGATCTGATCTTTGTTCTCATTTTTCTTTTATGCTAAAACAAATTGATTTTGACTTGTCGTTCGTATTATTGTACTACTATCAGATAGCATATATGCATATGGTCATAATCAGGAGTTAAGCCATCAACACAGTTGTTTACGTTACTCAGCAAAGTAACACTTATTTATAGAGAGACCAAACAATATGTACGGTGCTTTAACCCATTACTTCATGAGCATTTTTTGAAAAATGGCTGTTGACATTGAAAAGCCTCCTGTTACAATATGATAACAAGATCAAAAAGGAAAGGCAGCGTTCAATGGCAGATATGGTCATAATCAGGAGTAACAGATTGCCATGAAACAATAAAAAAGGCACCAATACTGTTCAAACTTGGCATACATGTTGACTGGACCCTTTTGTAACGGCATATTCAATCTTAAATTTCCTGTTACCATGGCAACGAGGGAACATCTAAACATTGCCACAAATCACTATTTTGAGTTGATATTTTCATCAAAACTGATTTCAAAGTGCTGCAACTTCTCAATGCATTGAAATAGAGTCAAAGGCTTTTCAGTGTTTGTTGCATGTTTTTTAAGGTCAACCTGAGGCCATATTTAGACTCTCACAAAGCCAAAATTTTCTTTGAGGAATAAGGGAGTCTACTGACCCCCTTCAAACCCCAAGCAGAAGGGGCACCCCTCCCCCTGGTACCCCCCTTTATTTGATAGAGGATGGCGCCGAAAGAGTTATCACTTTTATTAACACCATTTCTCAAACGAATACAAGTGTTTGTGGTCTAAATAGGGCAATTTTTCACTATTTGAGGCGTCAAAAGTGGGTGAAAAGTCGTCAAAACACGTCTATACGAAGTAAATGGTTAAATGCTTCAAAGAAAGGCTGTCAGAGGAGATAGCACACTAATTAAATACTGGACGCAACTATGAATAGATAGAAATACATTTCTGTTATCAATATCAAGAATGTATAGAAGACCAGCACAACATGCATGTGACCACGTCAATAACTTTGAAAAAAATCGACATACTTTTCCATGATATAATAGACAAGACAATAATCTGAAATCTGAACTCAAGGAGCTATATATTATTATCATAAAAGTCTATAAAAGTATATTGCTTCATGCAGTAACGGGACGATAAAAGTGAAAAATATATCTAAATAACATCACTTTAAAAGAAAAATAGTTCTAGGTTCAAAGATGAGATAATTATTGAAAGAAAGGTGTATACATAAAGTGATTGATGACAAAAAGTAGAGTAAAATTATTATATAAATCATAAGATTTCTGGAAATATAAGTACTATACATAGTTACGCGCTTCATGAATATTGACTTTCCTTGTTGATCTTTGCTTCTATATTCTATGAAACATAGTTGAACATTCGAATGACATTAGTCTAGCTAAAATACGGACTTGGGGAACGCCAGCATAGATTAATGTGAAATAAAGAACGCCGAGACTTTATAGACAGATATGGAGTTTCTGAGATTGTATCTTCTAATGCTAGTAGTTTGCAAATTAGAATTGCTATTTCAGACAGTCGAATACTTAAGAAACGTCAAAATAAAATGATGCAAAAGCAAATGTTGTGCAGAGTAAGCTTTCAATCCCTTTATAATTCTGAATAAATTGTTGCATACGATGATGTCCAACTTCTTCAAATATTCTTCTAGCTGATAAAAGACAATCTATCTTTAAATCCCATAAGTATTATATTGATGATACGATTACTGATACATAACTCGTTACCACCCATTAAGCAGGTACACTCTGGACTGATATTTCAATCCTAACCACAAACACTTGTAAAATATTTTGGGAATATCATTTGCTTTTTTGTATGCTGAATATTGCAAAATAATATACATTGATCTGAATTGATTTTTTTTCTTGCATTTTGTAGGGGTCTAACCATTTTTTAAATAACTTACCTACATGAATAAATTTATCATGGAAAAATTGTCATCTCATTCGATACTATTGTCTTATAGTTGCTTATGAATTTACAGCTTCATCCATAACATCCTAAGAACGCAGAATTTTCAAGCCTTTAAAATGCACTTGTTTTAAAGGATGCCAATATAGGTGTGAATCGGGCGACCCTGGTTCGATTCCTCGGCCATGAAGTCCTTTCTATAGGCATTCGCACTGTACCCAGATGTGCTCTGGCATACACACAAGTTATCAGTTCCTTGCAAAAGTGAAGGCAAATAATACTGGTATTCCGCTTGACAGCTTACTCAGGGAAGATGGGGTGTCTGATCTGTGCTCTGGTAAATTCAACGTGTCTTAGTGACGTGATCCGGAGGCACAATTACCATTACAACACCACCTATATACAGATGTCAAATACCTTTCTGCCCAGTATAAGGAGAGTTAAAGAGCGTCCTTGGTTTATTGTCACATCCGTGTTATTTGTGCCGTGTGGCGGCTGTAAGAAGTCTCCCCGTACATTTAATCAATGACGTCATATTTTCGATCCTTGAAGATTGTTCAGCACGACTTTATTGCTTGTGTAAACATTTTAGATAGTATTTTTAGTTTCTTGTATTTGACCTTTTTCAACTTTGGTGGTTCCAGTATCCTTACAAGTTTGAATACTGTATAATCACCCTTAGGATATGTTGCCTGCTTTTTTAATTTGTCTTTTGACGTCTTGTCTGTGATATGCAGGCTTCATAAGTTAACCTCAGATCCCCTTTCAAAATTCCATTTTATTTACTTCCGCCCATTTTTTTCTCGTTTAGGGCACACGCATTCTTTTACTTGGGGACCATATGCCGCTTAAATTTTCATGGAATGGCACTATTGTGTCACATTGAAGGTTCCATGATAATCGCCGTATGAACACATCTGCGGATGTCTCTAAATTCAAAATTTCACCATTTTTCGTGTATAATGTTGAATTCTGCTTAAGCCGGTGCTAGGGGGCGTGGACGGTAATTTGCACTTTCCAGTACCGTCCATGAACAGGCTCAATCAAACCTAGCCTGCAACATTTTCAATTTTGTCGTGTTGGGCTTTCTTTAGGGATTCAGTATCTCTCTATTTTATAGCCTGAGGAATGTAAAACATAACAATTTATTTAGATTTAAAATTGTTCATGTTGATATTCAGCTAGAAATACGTAAAATCAGGGTCTTTCAAATACCCTGGTAAAATGGAACTGAAAAGAAAGGAGATTCATTAATTTTTATAGATCTACTACAAGGTTGCTTTACAGTACGCACATGACATTAAATTATGAATGCATTTTAATATATACCTAGAACAGAACAGTATCACCGCTTTTCTGTTTTATAAATGTAATCATATCTTATTGTGCATTTTACATGCAGGACATTCATGTTCTTGTACACTGAAAATGGGGGTGAAAATATTTGAGTAGTGTTCTATCTAAATGCATTAATTTAGTACAATTAGACCTACTGTACAGTCGCATGGCGCGTAATTATTGCCTCACTTTCTCGACGATTTTCCCCATTTATTTCTTGCGTTTCGAGCTACGTTAATAACCGCTAAATAATTTGTATGTCTGCGGTACTTATGCAAGATAAATGGGAACGTGACAATCTGAAAAAAGGTAAAAAAAACCCTTGATAATTTTATATCATATATTTTCGCGATGCATTATTTTGTTGACGTTTGGAACATGTAAAAATATGTTTAACCACATGGGCTTTGTTCTTGGTAATAGAAAAGTCAACAAGACATGTTATTTGTAAGATGATGCAATTCCTATTTTTGCCGTTGTGTCTGCCTGCACATCGTAAAATAATAGGAAAGTTAACTGATGACATCACAAGTACCTGCTATCAGAATTTTGCAGATTTAGGTCAGACACTCACATTGATTTTTCCATAGACTTACATTATGAGAAATGGTCCCAAATGAGCAGTGTCTATTCTAGAAATTCAAAAATAGGGGTGATTTTCCCCCCTCCATTTAAAAAAAGGGGGCGATTTTCAAAATCAAGGGGTGCCAATATAAACTGCCAATGTTAAATCGTCTGCATTAAGTTTACACTGAGGCGTTCAACCGATGAAATATTTAAAACGAAAATATTCATTTAAGGCAGCAGAAGTTGTCCTCCCTTAATTTATGAACGAAAACAAATTATTATAGAACTGTCGCGATTGATTATCAAGGGATTGACAATACAAACAATCGACTTATCTTTTACGTCATAACCGTAGCCAAGCTAGGAATTGCCTCATTTTTCTTGATTATTTACTACACTAAAATGGCGCCCAACTGTCAGACCTAGCACACTAGTTCCGGTCGGTATGGAACATTCCGTTAATTTCCGTCAACTCACGTAACCAGTACCATACGGTACTAAATTATTATAATTAGCTTACAGTTACCTCCCTTCAGTTTCCGGTGTAAATGTAAACAAAACAACCAAATAAAATGCGAAATGGAATTATGCATGCGGGGGATCACTTTGTTTCCAGAATTCTTTTACGATTTTATTAACTTTTTTATAGATGCGGGATTTTCACGCATATGATTTTGAATTGTGCGCAATCTGTTAAATATTAGCGTGAATCCCGCAATCGCGCGTCCTAGAATAGACACTGAATGAGTAATTCTACCTTAAAATTAAGGTGATTTTTCTAGCAGAATGAAATGCCTGACACATAAAAATGTTCCTGTTATATAGTGGTAGCCAACCAAATTTTTTGCAAAATGACTTCAAAGAGTATTACCCCCCATTTCATTGAAATTTTCTGCTGATCACAGGACTGACACAGGACTGACATACACTTTTTATAAATACAAATATCCAAGTCAAAATTATCATAGAGACTCATGAAATATTTCATTTTCTTCAGAAAACAATGTAGTTTTTAAATTAGTTTTTAGCTCGACTTTTTTTTTTTTGAAAAAAAAAGTAGAGGTATTGTTATAGTCAGGTCGGCGTTGCCGTTGCCGTCTCCGTTGCCGTTGCCGTTGCCGTCCGAAAACTTGTACCTGGATCATAACTTTTTTATTTCTTGGTGTATTGTCTTCATACTTGGCCACAACAACCCTTGGGACAAGACCTTTCAGTAGACCACACTAACCTTGACCTTCATCCATAAATGACCTTGACCTTCAAGGTTAAAAGTCCAATTTTTGCTTGTTCATGCTGTTATTGGCTGTTACTTTGTTATTTTTGAATGGATTGTCTTCAAACTTGAACATAATAATCTTCAAGGATATCCCTTAAAAATAACCAGTCAGACCTTGACATTCACTCATCAATGACCTTGACTTTGAAGGTCAAATTATTGAAATTTTCATTTTTTTGGCTATTATTGGCTGTAACTTTCTTATTTTTGAATGGATTGTCTTCAAACTTGAACATAATAATCTTCAAAGATAACTGTTAAAAATATACCGAAAGACCTTGACCTTCACTTATTAATGACATTGCCTTTGAAGGTCAAATTATTGAAATTTTCATTGTTTTGGCAGTAACTGACTGTAACTTTGCTATTTTTGAAGGGATAAACTTCATATTATAACAGAACATTCTTAAGGACCAGACCTTGTTGTTTATCAAACCCAAATTTGCTTGGGCTCTTTAATGACCTTGACCTTGAAGGTTATATTACTGAATTTTCTCAGATTGTGCATTTATCGGCGTCATGTTTTTCTATTTTTAGAAATTGCGTCATTTTTTCTATTTTTAGAAATTGCGTCATTGTTGCTATTTTTAGAATTTGCGTCATTTTTTTTCTATTTTTAGAAATTGTGTCATTGTTGCTATTTTTAGAAATTGCGTCATTTTTTTCTATTTTTAGAAATTTCGTCATTTTTGTTCTATTTTTAGAAATTGCGTCATTGTTTCTATTTTTAGAAATTGGGTCATTGTTTCTATTTTTAGAAATTGCGTCATGTTTTTCTATTTTTAGAAATTGCGTCTTTTTTTTTCTATTTTTAGAAATTGCGTCATGTTTTTCTATTTTTAGAAATTGCGTCATGTTTTTCTATTTTTAGAAATTGCGTCATGTTTTTCTATTTTTAGAAATTGCGTTTCTATTTTTAGAAATTGCGTCATGTTTTTCTATTTTTAGAAATTGTGTCATTTTTTTCTATTTTTAGAAATTGCTTCATTTTTTTTCTATTTTTAGAAATTGCGTCATGTTTTTCTATTTTTAGAAATTGCGTCATTTTTTCTATTTTTAGAAATTGCGTCATGTTTTTCTATTTTTAGAAATTGCGTCATTGTTGCTATTTTTAGAATTTGCGTCATTTTTTCCTATTTTTAGAAATTGAGTCATTTTTTCTACTTTTAGAAATTGTGTCATTGTTGCTATTTTTAGAAATTGCGTCATTTTTGTTTTATTTTTTGAAATTGCGTCATTTTTTCTATTTTTAGAAATTGCGTCATTGTTGCTATTTTTAGAATTTGCGTCATTTTTTTTTCCTATTTTTAGAAATTGCGTCATTGTTGCTATTTTTAGAAATTGCGTCATTTTTTTCTATTTTTAGAAATTTCGTCATTTTTGTTCTATTTTTAGAAATTGCGTCATTGTTTCTATTTTTAGAAATTGCGTCATGTTTTTCTATTTTTAGAAATTGCGTCATGTTTTTCTATTTTTAGAAATTGCGTCATTTTTTCCTATTTTTAGAAATTGCGTCATTTTTTCTACTTTTAGAAATTGTGTCATTGTTGCTATTTTTAGAAATTGCGTCATTTTTGTTCTATTTTTAGAAATTGCGTCATTTTTTCTATTTTTAGAAATTGCGTCATTGTTGCTATTTTTAGTAATTGCGTCATTTTTTTCTATTTTTAGAAATTGCGTCATTGTTTCTATTTTTAGAAATTGCGTCATTTTTTTTTTTATTTTTAGAAATTGCGTCATTGTTTCTATTTTTAGAAATTGCGTAATTTTTTTCTATTTTTAGAAATTGCGTCATTTTTTCTATTTTTAGAAATTGCGTCATTGTTGCTATTTTTAGAAATTGCGTCATTGTTGCTATTTTTAGAAATTGCGTACTGTTGCTATTTTTAGAAATATGCTTAATGTTTCTATTCATATATATACAAAATATATAAACAAAACTAATGTGACAAGACAGCCCAACTAAATTTATAAAAAGGAAACATCAATATATGTTCAAACCTTTCTATGTTTGCGTTTAGAAAAAGTAAAAAGTCGAGCGTTGCCCCCGCCCGGCGGTGGCTCTTGTTATATTTAAAAATACCCCATTCTCATCCAGTCACCTCATGTGTAAAGTGATTAATACGGTTTTCCCTGCACTTTTTTTCAGCCAATCGCTGGCCATGTTACTATGCGATTCACTGACCTTTACCAGTTGGCCCCATTATTTATATGCATTATTTAGCAGCAGAATTTTTAAATTCTTATAATTGTTTTATTTGTGGATCAATTAGCAGAATTTTTAAATTCTAATAACTGTTTTATTTGTGGATCAATTTTTTTAGCTCGACTATTTGATTAGAATAAACTTATAGAGCTATCCTAGTCACCCAAGCGTTGGAGTCGGTGTCTGCGTTGGCATAATGCTAAAGTTTTTGTAACACCTCAAACATGTTCAAAGTCCATTGACATACAGCTTTGAAACTTTGCACACTTGTTCACCATCATGACCCCAACATGTACACAGAAGGAGCTAACTCTATCAAGCATTTTGACAGAATTATGCCCCTTTTTTAACATAGAAGAATTATACCCCTTTTTCAACTTAGAATTTTTATTAAAGTATACATACCACCTCAGATATTTCCATATTCCATTGACATATGGCTTTTGAAACTATTTGAAATTTTTAAACTTCTTTAAGAGCATAACAGGATTCTCTCCAAGGCCTGTAATTGTAATGGATTTAAAAAAAAAATTCGGCCCTTTTGTGAACTAAGAAAATTTTACATTATCAAGGCTCTTTTACTATCAAGCACTAAGAAAAGTCGAGCATGCTGCCCTACGGACAGCTCTTGTTTAGATTTCTTTATTATCATTTGAAAGTTCTTTATATTCATATTTTTGAATATAAGCGGATTTTCATTTTTTTGCTTTTGTAGAAGAGGGGGTATACTAGAATTTCTGAAAGATGACGGACCGTCTGACCCAACATATTTTCACAGGGTCCAACGATTTTTAAGCTAAAGTGGATCTGACTGTCTGATAATTTTTTTCAGGGGAAAGGGAGACTAATTCCTCTGAAGTCCGATTAAAAAAAGTATTTTTTTTTATATATATAGGTATGGATTTTTTTAATCGTACTTTAGTGTGATTATTGATAGAATTTCAAGCTCCTGTGTACATATTTACCTGCATGTATTTCAGTAGCTTGTGAAAGAAGCTAACTGGTTGTAATTAAATTCATGAAAGAATTTTTTTTCTGTTTAAAGAGATTCTTCAAATCATTTTTATGCAAAATTTTCTTTTCTATTGTAACGGGGGTTTATTCTCGTCTGATTTGTTTTGACGTGGGAGGGGAACCTTTTACTTTTTGTGACACTGTCTTTATTGGAACCTTATCTTATTGTAAACTCAAGATTCTGGTTTGCTCTTGTTTATTTTCTTCCAGTAAATTTCTTAGTAAAAACGCTGTAACGAAAGTTGGTTTCACAATATAATTTTATTTCAAGCAAAGCATATCTCTTTAAATTTTTACAATTATCACAGTAATATAATATCACAATAAAATAATAAGAAAGATTTAATATAAGGAAATGATACGCGCTTATGTCTTACAAATGAGAGGACATAGAAACAGAATAGCTATATAAAATTTGTAACCAGAAAATTAAAATTATATAGAGATTTTCTGTTAAAACATTAAGATAAAATATTTATACATGAAACATTATAGAACATTGTAGAGAAATATTGTAATATTGAAAACATTATTAATATTGAAACATTATACAGAATCTTTATTAAGATAGAAAATATTGTACAACATATTTGTAATCTTAGTAAATAACAAAAATTATAAATATGAAAATAAATTAATTTCTTACCTGTAACGAAAGTTGGTTCCACAATATAATTTTATTTCAAGCAAAGCATATATAAAAATGAACCCTAGGGTTACCCTTATATATGCTTTGGTTGTTAAGCTTGGTTTCCATGATGACCATAGCAACTTAATCCAGACAGCAATGAACCAACATGTTACAGGACAACAAATTTAATTAGCTATAAGGTGTTAACAACCTTTTATCAATTTAGAATTACATTGAAAAGAAACATAAAAGGGGTATTACTAATTCTTACACTTAAGGGGTATTTGTTGAATAATATGCTTGTAAATAAACTTTTATAAACATAATAAACTTTTATAAACATTATATACATCAAACTACATAAAAAGAAATAACAGTACATAATAAATGATTAAAAGAATTTATGCCTATACAACAACTACATTAAAAGAAAAACATGTACAAAATCGTTGTTACAACATCCCCCTGCTGAATAAAACAATGCTCCTGCATTGTAAGGGATGCAGAAATATTTTTCTTATGTGTAGTCACAATTTTTTATTTTTTTTTTTTATATACACAATATATTTTATATAAGTAACGATAAGTTACACAATGTGATGAACTTTGACAAATGGTTATATAAAAACATGGAGAAAACATGAACTGTTAAATAAAACAATGCTCCTGCAACAATGCTTCTGCATTGTTATCTAGAAAAAACTATCAAATTTCAGAAATGACACATGACAAATGTGGAAATGGAAAAAAAACACATGAGCTAAACATGAAATAACACAATTGATATATAAATATAATACAACATAAACAACAATCATAATAATCCATAGGTGGCCTCCATGAAGTTGGGAAGTTTATTTATCTAGAAGGGGCTCATGTAACTTCGGATACATACAAGCAGTATCATTTTTGATCTTATTATCAACATAATTTACATTCACAGGTATACATGTATTATTTTGTTGGATCCAAATGAACATAGAAAATTTATTTTTGATTATGCGTTTAATCTGATAAGCTTGAAAAAAATTTAACTTAATCGGGGAGATGGGAGATAACTCTTGACTGGAAAATCTGTTTTTGATTAGTAGATCACCATAGTTTACTGTAAGAGAAGATTGGTATGAAATTTTGAGATCCAGTTCAGTTAAACAGTTTTGTCCAGAGAATTCACAATGTTGAACACATGTTGGAAGGTACATACAAGGTAGTTGAACAGAAGTATTTCCATCAGTTATTTCAAGAATCAATTTACTGTTTCCCATTTTTTTGAAACAAAGTTTAAGGAATTTATATAAAACAACAATGAAAAGTAGTGAGGCTGTGACTAACATGGGGTTATTTACTAGAGAAATGTCTGATTTCTGAATTGTCTGAATAGTAGTGTTTACAGATGGCAATGTTGTGGTATAAATAAAACTTGGTAGGTTGGCTGACTGTACCTTAGCAGGGAGTTGAGAAACACTAGTAATGATTGCTAATCTTCTATATTTTAAAGATAACACAATTAAACCAAACAAGCAAATTACTGACAGAGTAGAACTGATAATAGTTATGATAAAACTTACAGAAATAGACTGTTCAGATTCGATAGGTAAATCAAGTAAAGGGTCTGCTAGGTTTGTATATATTTGACTATTTGCTTTAGTCAACATAGCCATTTTCTTAAGACTTAGATGTTCCTTGGTATCTTTCGCAATGAGGTCAGAAAAGTTATGTTTAAAAATTTGAAATGTGGGAATAGATATGTTTAAAGGGTCATTGAATGTTGAGTGTGCTTCAACCATTGACAATGTTGATTCACTGAAAAATTGTTGCAATAAGGCAAGATTGATAGGATGTATGTAAGTTATGTCTACATCATGATGGTGGCAGTGAGATATACGAGGAGGTAAATAAGTAGATTTAGTTGTTATAGCACAATCACAGGGTATTGTTATAAGACAAAACTGACAGCCATTTACAGTTTTGTTTTTATTGTGGCAGTTCAAAAATAACTGGGAGGTATTTGAAACTAAAAAATGTGTATCGTTTAATTGTCTGAGAGTGGAACGAAGTGCATTTGTTATAAACTGGAAATTACAATGGTTATTTATTAATGTTTTGTTTCCTAAGTAAAGGCTGGTTGCACAACTATTAACATGCATAGGTGTAATGGGAAATGAAAAGGGACATATGGTTTCTTTCATATATTGTTTGCACTTAGCTATTGTTAATGAGTTAAGCTTTAAGTAATACATACCATTATTTGAAATTTCCAAATACTGTGGCAAATTAGCAATTTTAGACACATGTTGTTAAGCTTGGTTTCCAGTTCCTTGGAATGGACCTACTCCACCAGTTGTAACAGGGGTTTATTCTCGTCTAATTTGTTTTAACGTGGGAGGGGAACCTTTTACTTTTTGTAACACTGTCTTTATTGAAACTTTATCTTATTGTAAACTCAAGATTCTGGTTTGCTCTTGTTTATTTTCTTCCAGTAAATTTCTTAGTAAAAACGCTGTAACGAAAGTTGGTTTCACAATATAATTTTATTTCAAGCAAAGCATATCTCTTTAAATTTTTACAATTATCACAGTAATATAATATCACAATAAAATAATAAGAAAAATTTAATATTGGGAATTATACTTGCTTATGTCTTACAAATGAAAGGACATAGAACGGAATATCTATATAAATTTTGTAACTATAAAATTAAAATTATTTAAGAGATTTTCTGTTAATACATTAAGATAAAATATTTATACATGAAACATTATAGAACATTGTAGAGAAATATTGTAATATTGAAAACATTATTAATATTGAAAACATTATACAGAATTTTTAATAAAATAGAAAATATTGTACAACATATTTGTAATCTTAGTAAATAACAAAAATTATAAATATGAAAATAAATTAATTTCTTACCTGTAACGAAAGTTGGTTCCACAATATAATTTTATTTTAAGCAAAGCATATATAAAAATGAACCCTAGGGTTACCCTTATATATGCTTTGGTTGTTAAGCTTGGTTTCCATAATGACCATAGCAACTTAATCCAAACAGCAATGAACCAACATGTTACAGGACAACAAATTTAATTAGCTATAAGGTGTTAACAACCTTTTATCAATTAAAAATTACATTAAAAAGAAACATAAAAGGGGTATTACTAATTCTTACACTTAAGGGGTATTTGTTGAATAATATGCTTGTAAATAAACTTTTATAAACATAATAAACTTTTATAAACATTATATACATCAAAGTACATAAAAAGAAATAACAGTACATAATAAATAATTAAAAGAATTTATGCCTATACAACAACTACATTAAAAAAAAAACATGTACAAAATCGTTGTTACACTATTCATCTAATATTTTTTAAATGGCCTAATGAACTCATAATAAGGAAAAGGCTTATATAATAGTGGTTCCAGTTCTTTTATGTATTTCTTGGTTAATAAAATAAATGGTTTGGCATGACCCTAAAAAATTTCAAGTGACCCCTAAAATCTGATACAAGGGGTCAGAAATGACCCCCAAAAAATTAGAGCTGGAAGGAACACTGATTTAACTTAAATAAACTGATGATGTATATTAACAGGGATTGAGTTTAATTTGGAGACTATTGAAATAAAGGGATAATGTTGATTAATACCTTGTTTGTTTTGCTGTAAATGAGTTGGTCTGACAGATTTTTTGTTGGTCTGACAAAATTGAAGGGTTTGTCAGACCAAATGTCTGACACTTTTTTCACACTTTCAGGAAGTCTGTTTTATTGTTTTGCTTATGTTGGTCTGTTGGTCCGTCTGTCTGTCTGTCGGTAGACCACATGGTTTCTGCTGATTATCTTGAAAACTATTTAGCACAGTCTTCATATTTCACATAGTGATTGGTCATAACAAGTAGATGACCCGTATTGATTTTGGAGTCACAAGGTCAAAGGTCAAGGTAACAGGGGCCTTATATGTCAGAATGGTTTCCGCTTGATTATCTTGAAAAGGATTCATCATAAAGTTTTCATATTTTACATAGTGATTGGTCATAATTATAAGATGACCCCTATTGATTTTGTGGTCACCAGGTCAAAGGTCAAGGTTACAGGGTCCTTGAATGTTTGAATGCTTAGGGTTTATTATCTTGGTTGCTATTTATCACGAAGTCTTCATATTTCACATATTGATTGGTCATAACTAGTAGATAACCCCTATTGATTTTGGGGTCACAATGTCAAAGGTCAAGATCAGAGGATCCTTGAATGGTAGTATGATTTCAGCTCATTATCTTAAAAGCTAATTATTTACGTCTTCATATTTTGAAAATTCAGGCTACTGTTGTTATCCAAATATCATGGAAATTGGTCTGCAAGTTTGTTTTGATGATTTCTAGGTCAAGTTTATATTGGGTGTATGAGAACAGACAAGTGTGTTAGGTTTTGATTGTGATGAGGTCAGTAAAAATCAGGGCTCCAGATAATTCTTTAGGATAGCGGTGTGGATCGTTGGATAAGTGACGATCCGATCCGAACCACGATTCAGCACTTACGATTCACAAATCGAACCACAAATCTTTTATTATCAAGACACCCATAAAAACATATAAAATAGTCATAAAAACATGTTTATTTTTAAAAAAAAAACAGCAACAATACTTAACATTTAATGTATAATCGATATTTCAATATTCATTGTTGATTAAATAATATTGGAACAATTCATTCACATGTTTGACTTAGAAACTGAGAGTTTTTGCGAAATTTAAGGGTTTCTGGCGAACGTGAAATTGCCGATGTTCGGGATCAATTTTCGGAAAGAATCTAAATATTAAAGAAAACTAAAGCTTAAGTGTATTTTTGGTTTGTTGTCCTGGCATTTCGGCACAATATCTTAAATTCTTAATACTCTTATTGAACGTTTTTGTAAGAATAAAACTAAAGCAAAAATTTGCCTAAAAAAAATGAAAAAAATTTTCAAAAATTCATTCAAAATTACATTTCATTTTTGAATTTTTTAAAACCCAATTTTTTTTTTAAAACTGGGGCAAAAATAGTTCGAAAATTTTTTTCCTTTTTTTAAAATTTTGCTAACCCAATCAACTTTTATCAAACCCCTTTTTAAATTCGGGTAATTAAAATTAAACACCGGGGGTAACATTACTGATACTTTTGCTTATAATATCAGAAGCTTATCACGGGTTGGCAATGGGCCAAAAGGGGTCATGGGGCATACCCCCCTACCACTAAAAACACACCGAGTATTGTTTTATTTTTTAAACAATGGGTAATTTTTATCTCCCTACCCAAAAATTAAGCAACGGGGAACCCTTTGGGTTTCTAAAAAATTTTTGCGTCCAGCTTAAAAAACATCGAGGGGACCCAAATAAGCTAAAAAATATAAAACTTTTTTTTTTTATTTTTTGGGAAAATTTTTTTTTGTTTTTTTTTTTAAAACCCAATTACTTCCAGTCACTTCATGGTAAAAGGCCTTAAAACCGGGCAAAGTTTGGGTTAAATTTAAATAAAATTTATACTCAAATCGTTTTTTCCCATTTTAAAAGGTGAAAACAGTGAATGAATATAAAAAAAAAAAATTTGATCGCGTTTCCCCCAAATCCCCGGGGGTTTTACAAATTTTCAAACCGTTTTTCACTTTTTTCGTGTTTACCGATACTGGGTTTAACCGCCCCACCCCAAACTTGGGGAAAAAATTTGAAAATTTACCCCTTTATTTTTTTTGTGAATAGTAAAAAATTTTGAAATCGGAAATTCGGGGGATTATTTTAACCAAAATTTTTTAAAAAAAAACCAATTTCTATGCATTTTTTTTTCCCCAAACTTTAGGGGGGGGGGGTGTCTTTTAAATTTTAAACCCCTTGTCGCCGTCCTTTCTTTTTGTTGAAATTGAAACCCTAAAAAACAAAAACCCTTTTAAAAATTTTACAGCTTTGTTTATTTTGCATAGGGATTTTTCGGGGAATTTTATATTTAGAGAAATTTTCCCCTTGATTTAGAAAAATTTTTAAATTTTTCCAATTTTGTTCACTTTTATTTAAAAAAAAAATTTAACCTAATCATAAAAAATTTAAAACAGGAAGACCCAAAAATTTTATTTTGGCCCATTTGGGAAGTTTTCATTGGTTTTAAAATTTTTTTCCCCCACTATTCCAGAAAAATCGGGGCCAACATTCACCCTTTTTGGGCCGGGCCGGGCCCTTCGGGGTTGTCATTAACTTTTTTGCAGAATTTTTTTTAAAATTTAAAGGGTTCATTTCGCCTTTTTTCATCAAAAAAAGTTTTCCTTTAATTTTTTAAAAGGGGGGGCCCATAATCTTTTTAACGGGCTTTTTGGCCCTCCCGCCTTTTAAGGGAAAAAACCCTGCCCGGGGTTAAATTTTTTGATGAACCGGGAAATCCCATAAACTATTTGGAAGGAATGGTTTAAATTTCACACACTTTTTTCCCCTTAAACAAAGAGTTTGGCACAACCCCATATTACTCTTTTTGTTTTTTTTACAAAAATTACCCCTTTTTCGATTTAAAAAATTCCCTTTTTTAAATTTTTTTGTTTTAAACCCTGTACCCAATAACACTAAAGGGAAAGGTTGAAACTCTGATTTGCTCTTTTACATAATTATGCCCTTTTTCGACTTAGAAATTCTTGGTTAAGTTTTTGCGTGTAAGCTGGCATCTCCATAACTACAGAAGGGAATGGATTGAAACTTCACACACTTGTTCTCTGTGATTATCTAAGATGATTGGCACAAGTCCCATAACTCTGATTTGCTTTTTTTACATAATTATGCCCTTTTTCAACTTAGAAATTCTTGGTTAAGTTTTTGCGTGTAAGCTGGCATCTCCATAACTACTGAAGGGAATGGATTGAAAACTTCACACACTTGTTCTCTGTGATTATCTAAGATATTGACACAAGTCCCATAACTCTGATTTGCTTTTTTACATAATTATGCCCCTTTTTTCGACTTAGAAATTCTTGTAAAGTTTTGTATGTAAGCTGGTATCTCCATAACTACTGAAGGGAATGGATTGAAACTTCATCACTTGCTCTCTGTGATTATCTAAGATGATTGGCACAAGTCCCATAACTCTGATTTGCTTTTTTACATAATTATGCCCCTTTTTCGACTTAGAAATTCTTGGTTAAGTTTTTGTATGTAAGCTGGTATCTCCATAACTACTAAAGGGAATGGATTGAAACTTCACACTTGTTTTCTGTGATAATCTAAGATGATTGGCACAAGTCCCATAACTCTGATTTGCTTTTTTACATAATTATGCCCCTTTTTCGA